TAACTGAAATAAATTTTTGTTATAAATTGTATAATGATTAAAATTTGTCATACGTTAAAATTTCCCTAGATAGATATTCCTGGGTATTTAACAAATCCATAGACACATCTTCCACAGCCAGAAGATAGTTTTCTTTCAATTGCTACATGAATTGGAATTAAGTAATAGATGGCTATAATTTCCATGATGCAAAAAATCAAAATTAATTACTTCATTAAATTTACATTTAAAATTTATTTCTTTTGTCTGCTTTACGTTAAATTTATTATTATTTTCAAATTTAAGAAAAATACAGAGAATAGTTTACAGCATATCTTACCTTTTGAAATAAAATAATCAAACAACAATTTATTTCAAATATCACTCTACTAGACTTGGTTCTGTCCTATGAATTGTAAGAAATTAAAAAAGGTTTATGGGGGTAAATTTAATGTTAAATGTCATAAATTTAAAAATTACAATATTTGTACTCAAATTTTATGCACAATAATTTATCAGAGCATCTTAAGGAATTCTAGGAAATAACAGAAAATCTGTAACTCACACTTAAGTATTCTTCCCTTCAAAACGAATTTCTATTATTTAATTTTAAATTAATTAATAATAAATAAATAAATATTTTTTTAATTAAATTTAAAAAAATTGATTTAAGGACAGAAACAAGCAAAGTAGGCTTCACACTTAGAATTTTAAGCAATAAGAAGATAATAAGCGATAAGAAAAAATCATAATAGAGGAAAAGTACCAAGTAGATGACTACTCATTTACAACGATGATACTCATTTATGATGATTTATACTAAATGTAGAAATTCAACATTATTCATTCCTTTTTCTCAAATATTTTATTTGAATATATAACTGTTTCAAACTGAATTAAAATCTATAACTTAGCATAATATCAAATATCATGTTTACACCACTACCATTGATAAAATCACAGAAATAGAGTTTTAACAATAAAATCTAAAATGATATGAGTTGATTTTCTGGAATTTCCTACACATTCTTTGAAATATTGTAAGTATACTGACTGAATTTGTGTTGTCTGTCATTGCAGACGTAGAGTGTGTGTAAATTTTAAAACAATAGTGAACTTTACCCAATTATAATATAATATACTCTGGGACTCACCAGATGAAATCTAATAGTAAATTCAAGTAACCAGCTCATGTTACAGGTTATTTCATATTGATTTACAAAAATTTGTTCTTTTAAAATTGCCACTTGTTTTGTTAAAACATGTGGATTATGTTAAAAACAATATCCAATCGAATAAATACTTTCAGATAATGATTAAAATTAGACATAAGAGTTTCAAAAAACTAGGCCTGTATGATATTCATGAATGTAATTAATTATTTATAAAAATATTTTAATTAGAAATCTTTGTCTCACATCAAAAGAAGCAGCTCTGGACCCCTCTGCCCACACATAAATTCATATCTTCTCATATTACAACTAGTATATTTTCCTAATTATATTTTAAGTGATCAAATGTTGATTGACAATGATATTATTGATAGAATTAGGAAGGAAAAAGTGCATTATTTTAAACATAGTCAAATATCTGAAGAGTCTTGATTGGAGGAGGCTAGAAATATAATGTTGATTATTCTAACATACAGAAAATTACTATCAGATGCATTGAAGGATATTCTCTGGAGAGAGGGACATGACTAGTGACATTCTACCACCCCAAAAGAAAGCAAAGTAAATTTTCAAAAATTAATGACTTTTCTAGATTAAATAATATTAAAAATCTAAAAAATGTTTGTAATTTTTTAAATCTTCCAAACCACTGGTATTTTCATGATAAGTTATAACTAGAGACCGCATGTAAGGGAAATGTCTCAACTTTATCAGATGTTTTTATTTAAAGATATCAGGAAACTCCTAATTTATGAGTAATTTCTTGCTGAAAATGCCAAGTTTACTGATATTAACTTCCCAATCCGTGCCCTATTACATGGCTTCCAAAACATGATGACTTACGTAAAGTTCTCGAAGATTTTTAATTTTTAAAATTTTTCACAGGTAATTATTACTTTATGAGATATTTATTTTGATATATTTAAAGGAGGCATATTAGTATTGGAATAACTGTAATATTTTGGTTTTATTAACAGTACTGAGAAAAGTAACATAATTAATAAATTCCAAATATTTTCTTTATACAAAAGTAGAAAAAAGATAAGTAAATTTAGTTAATGAAATTTTACATGAAAATGACATTAAAACCAACACAAAATGATTTAAACAAAATGATATTTTTTTTTAGATCACTTTTTAACTACGAGGTCATGTAGGGATTGTTTACATTGGGGTAACAGTAGGGAGAACACAACACGAGCTCACACAAACATCCATGCCTGAGGCGGGATTTGAACCCGCGACCCTAAGTGACGAGGCAGCTCCGGCCCCACAGCCTGAGTGACCTTGGCTAGCCAGGGCGGCAATAATGATTTTTGTTTTAAATGAAATCTATTCTAAAAACAAAGATCTTTAAAAAAGATTATGTACTTTTTTCTTTAAAAAAATTGATTTTCACAGAATTTCTGTTTGAAGTTAATGCACACTATAAAATTATTTTTTTAAAATGGTCCCAATTTTTTACATAGATAGAGCAAGGGATACTTAAAAGTGGTGCAGGTCTCATTTTTGGTAAACTATCTAAATTTTTAAAAGTTGCAAATTTTCAAATAAAGCAAAAAAATTGGTGCTGTTTTAGCCCCACTAGTTTTTTCAAAGATCAGTTAAGGGGAGTGATAAAGGCCTATCTCCAATATTAATTTGACTCAACATTTGAATAACTAGAAACTATTAAACTCAGAACTGTATAATTTTAAGAGCAGCTTTGTGAAATTGTTTTAATTGATTCCAAGCAGATTTATATCTTTTGGACACTTTTTGAAATTTTCATAAAATTTAGTAATAGTAATAATAAAGAAATATTAAAAATTTTTGCAATTTTTTTCTTTACATTTATGCAAAAATCCATAAAGTAGTAATACCCTTGTAACATTAATTTATTTCATAATCCTGCAACAGTTTTGGGCGTTGTTCTCCCCATCATCTAGCTGTAAAATTGAAATAATAGTAAAATATTTAAAATATTTACAATTCAATATTAAAATTGAGAAATGACAGGAAAGAACTTACCATACACATGAGAGCTCACAAAACAGAGGGATTTTACATTGACATTATTCTACAGCTAACGGTCACTAAGGACAGTCAAAATCAATTTCACTGTTTAGTGAGAGTGGTTGAAAACATGACAAATCACTTTTGTCATTGTTTTGAAATGTGACTCAAGTAGCTTCATTGTCTTATCAATAACAGCATTAGGAGAATGGTTGTTTCTTAAAATAGCTTGAGTTATTTGAAATTTAAAGGGATGGAATTCCTCATCAGCTAACTTGACTGTGCTTATAGTTAGTATGTAATTCTTTGAACATCTTTTGAGCATTAAAATTGTAGTTTTAAATTAAAATAAAGATTCATTGAAAGAAAATTGAAAAAAAACTACAAAAAAACATTATAGTGTTATTATGTGAAAGCCACACAAAAACTATGTAAACACTAAAAACTTTGTTGTTGTTTGGTTGAATTGATTCCTGGTGAATTTAATTGAACTGTGGCACTGGAAATAATGAATATAAAGCAAAGAAGTATAATACTTAGTTCATGCTAAAGCATCATGTATATATGAATATAATGTTAAAAAAAGTGTAAGTAAAAGCAAGCCCACAACATAAAAATGTGTTCCTCTGAATTTTCTGTATTTTTATTGAATAAATAAAAATTGCTTGAAAATAAATAATGATTCCAGTTCAAATTATTTAAAATATTGATGGATAAAAAAAATGGTCACTGTATTTTGGGAACTATATTCTTGTAAAATTACACGGGTAACTACATTTCCTCAGAATCTTCAGTTTTGACGTTGGACTCAATCAGTATAGAATTTTGGCCCTTTGACCCTCAATAAGTGCTGAATTCCAATGACTGTTCTGCACAAGAAATTAGCACCTATTGCATATAAGAATACATCTGGAACTGTTAGACATAATTACGTTCGTGAAGAGTATTATTAAATAGCTCTCGTACTTTGGAAATTATAAAATAAATTCCAGTGTACAAGTGGTAAGACTACACTTATAATCTATATAACTAGTTTCCAATGTGTCCAGAAATTGGAGAAAAAAACTATGCAGCTTCCAGCAATGTGGTGTCTGATTTGTTAGATACGTACGGATTTGGAAAAAAAAACAATAAAGTAATGAAATATTGATTTTGACTAAAAAATGTAAATATCTTATTGGTTCCTGCAATTGTCATACTGCTCCTATCAACAATTTTCATACGTGTGGCATGAATGATTTGACTGGTTGTTCATGTTTCCATGTTGTTTGGGGGGCGCACCCACCAAGATGGGTTGAATCGCAGAATTGGTTGGGGTTGTTGATCCGGATGTTGTATACTCATTTTGTATGAGTTTGTTCAGCTGCATTTTTGCAGTGCAGGCCACTAGTTATGATCCAATTCAATGTTGAAATATTCGTTCCAGAAATGGCATGTAGTCAGGCAATGAACAATAGTTGTAATTTTATTGGTGACATTGTGTGGTTATATTTCATGCAAAGCACATTTCACCATGCAATTTCAACATTAAATTGGCAATTAAAAGACAACGATATTTGATGGAATTAGATGGTTGACAAAAAAAGGTGTGTTGATTAAAATGAATTCCTAAACCTGAAAATTCATCCAAGAAGCTATCAGGGTTAGGTACATCTAATGTTGAATTCATATACAACATTTAATACAAATGATTTATTTAAACAAGCAAGTTGATTTAATTCTATTCTAAGGGATTCTATAATGATCGATAATTTATATACATATGATTTTTCATCGTTAACTTATCAATCATTGTCACAAAATGTGGAGACATTCATAATTTTCATTTCATTTGTTTCTTTCTTGATTACTACAGAAACCATCTGTCACATTACAAATCCTGGAGTTAATGTCACTGGATTCACCTGTTTGGAAAAGGTAATTATTCTAACAGAAGGGTGCAATGACTACAAATATTTTAAAAGTTTTTATAAGATTTAGTGAATATTTATTATTAATATTGTGTTTGGTTCTGTGCAGAGACCACTATTTGGCTGAACACTGAGTCACTTATCTCTAGATATCAAGAGAATATAAGAGGTGAGTAACTTTAAGCTAAAAATGTAAGCTAATAAAAGAACATGAGTATTGAGGGAAAAATATTATGCGAGGTCAAATTTCGGAAATAATTACATATTTAATTAGAAAATATTTCATTTTGATCCGTTTCATCATATCTATTGTGTTTCGATACAAACTTTTTGGAATTACTACATATGGAGGTATGAATTGTGTCAGATATTTTTTACTCTTAAGCAACTTTTTCTTTGTTCTTAAATAACTCTAAATGAGGTAGTAAACTTGACAAACTTGCATCAACTCTTTTTCCTTTCTCGTATACATATACGTATATGGGGAGTAATACACCTAATATAGAGAAAGCTATGACAATTTTTCAACAGAAATTGTATTGTGAGCCCCTGATACAGATGAAAATAGATAAACCCTGTTCTAATACGTAGTAAATTACTATATTTAACACTTTATGTAGTCAAATTTCCCTTGTGTGCCCTTGATATCGAAAGAGTACTTTTCCTTTTTTTCTCAAAATGTCCGTCTGTCTGAACACCACTAGCATCAAAAGCATACCCTGGACTTTTTCTTACTTTACATGAAGCCCTTGTGATATTTTAAAATTTTTCTGAAATAATGCTCATTTTAATTTATTTTTTTTAAAGAATAGAGTAATATACACTTATAAAGATGGCATAGGTTCGTTTTTCACGTTAACTCTAAATTTTTGAAAATTTCAAAAGTTTGATTTTATCGGCCTTTTCCTACAATTACAAAATTGAAAATATTTTTGCTTCAATTAATTTTTTTCTCGATCGTTAGTTCTTTCATTAAGGTCAAGTACATTAAAAAAATTAGTAGTTTTCGTGTAATATTGCAAGCAATTTTAAAGTAGTAGTGCTTCAAAATGGCACAGAATTTCCCGTATTAGTTTTTTTTTATTTCCTTTGGTCTCGGCTGTAATACTCTTCCCAGCTACGATCTATCGCCGCCCGAAGTACATTTTTTTGAAATTTTCTTACTTTTTCGGTTTCCTAATAGTGGAACGTAAATATTAATTTAAGAATATTAAAGAACAGTAAAACTTCGTGCTAAACGACAGCTTTCTTTGAAAATTTGGGGTTGTTTGTAAGAAAATGGCACTTAAGCGCTACTGTAAATTCGAAATTTGAAGCTATTTTTTACAGAAAAATTTTGAGTTTACGAAAAACTTAATTTGAAGCATTGTAACTCACAAATACAATACAAGTGTATACAAATACATAAATACAAGTATTTACAAATTGCTGGAAATGTGCATATTAACGGCGTGAGAGATCTTTCAAAAAACTACATTTGTGCGATTTTTGAAAAACAAACAAACAAATACACCGAAATGAACGTTACTTCATGTTAAAGGATGCAATTAGCACAATCCGTTCGAAAGTTTGAAGAAAAAGTTTGGAGCCGTTTTTGAGAAAATGGCGTTGAGCGTTTCTGAAAAGGCGGAATTTTGAGCAGTGTTCATAGAAAACGATTGAGATTTCGAGAAACTGTATATGGCATTATTTTAAGCACATGTACTCATAAATATAATGTGAACAAATGGCCGCTAATATACATATAAACGACGTGAGAAACAAGTCAAAAAATTACAATTTGTAACTTGTACAATTTTTGAAAAATCAAAAGAGTAGAGCAATATAGCGTTTATGTCATCTTATAAAGTGCATTTAGCACAATTCCTGCTAAAATTTTAAAGAAAAAATTGGAGTCGTTTTAGATTATGTCTTGTTTTTGTAATATTTATAGTTGCACATATCGATTTTCGAAATTGATTTTCGCCGCATTACATAACTTATCATATACTACGAGTACGTATATACGTACTTATACGGGAACGTAAAAATAACAAAAAACTATTTTCTCGAATACAGCTCCAAACTTTTTCTTAAAAATTTTGTTAAGCATAGTGCCAAATGTACTCTACAAGATAAAAAAATTGCCATGTTCTATTCTTTTGTTCTTTCAAAAATATATTTTTTGACTAGTCTTTCACGTCGTTAATATTTACATTATCGGCGATTTATTCACATTATTGCATTTATGAGTACCTGTGCTTCAAATGATGTTTAAACGTAATTTTTTCAAAAATGGCTCCAAATTTTTTATTTAAATTTCTTGTAAGAATATAGTAAAATGCACTCATAAAGGTGACATAGGTCTGCTTTTCACTATTAACACTGAATTTGCGAAAATTGCAAAAGTTTGAATTTTTAGGCGTCTTCCTATATAACTACAAAATTAAAGATAAGATTTTTACTTCAAATGAAATTTATTGTCCATAATTAAGTTCTTTCATTAAGGTTATGTATATTTTTTTTTGAAAATTTTCGTAGTTTTCGGGCAGTATTGCGTGCAATAAGTGCAATTTTAGAAATCAACAAAAACAATATGTTCTGAAAAATAGCTCCAATTTTTGTCTTTAAACTTTGGCTAGGTATATTGCTAAATGTAATACATAAATCTCATTTTGTTCTATTTTGTTTTTTCAAAATATGAGTTTTTTCGTGTAAATTTTGCTTGTTTATAATATTAATTGTGTGTTAAAAATATGAGATGTTTCCGTGAAATTAGACGATTTTTTTTATTTTTTAAAGACATTTTATCTAAAACGGCACCAATTTTTTCTTTAAATATTCTCCTGACATGCATCAAAGTACGGTAAAAGAATACGGTGCAAGTCCCATTTTCGGCGAACATGTATTTTCGAAATTTGCAAAACGTCAATAGTTAAAAACTACAGAATCAAAGATAGGCATTTTTGCCTTAAACAAAGTGTGTTGCAAAACATTAGCTCTTTAGAAAAGGCCATACACAATTTAAAAAAAAACAATAAATTCGTACTTCATTTAACCAACGTTCGTGTTTTGTGAAGCGGTCCCTAGTTCGATATTCGACCGGAGCAAAAATGAAGCTGTAGCTTTTTAATACAAATGGTCTTAGTTTCAATAATCGTGCGACGAAAGAAAAAGCTGAGTTAGGCCAAATATGCTATGTAGGGTGATGGAAATACGTCATGCTCGCCATATGTCTCCCTTACCCACAGGCCTAGATAAAAATATACTAGTGGTACACATATTTTATCGCATAATTCCTAACTTTTGCAAATTCAACGAAAGGTGTTAGAGTGTTCAACGAAAATTAGACCTGTGCTATTCTGTTAAGCGTCCCTTCGATCTATGGAAAACAAATTGAAGAAAAAAATTGGAGCTGTTTTCGAGAGAATGTTTTTCTATAATTTGCAATTAATTTCAAATAGAAATTAGGTGAAGTGAACTCGTTTTTTTAACGAGAAAGTAAAAAAGGAACATGACCTTTTTTAATAATCTCAATTTGTATACCACATTTCATATAAACCAAAAATCTTCATCTTCAAAATTGCATTATTTTTTTGTTTGCAATTGTGAAATTTACAGAACCTTCACCGAAATGGCACCCGCGCCATTATTTAAGCGCCCTTTGCTCTCCTAGAAAAAATAAGAAAATACTTTGGACCAGTTTCTAAGAGTATTTTTTAAATTTCAGAACTTTTGCAAAAATTGCGCGAAAACTGATCATATTATCACAAAATACGATATTATTTAAAGATTTATTTTTACATTTTATTAAGGAAGAATTTTCTACCAACAATACCATATTTTTGTAATATTAATTATTGCATTTTTCGAAAACATCGAAAATGGGCCGGCGCTATTTTTGTAAGTGTTCTTTTCTCTCTATTCAAGAAAAATTATGAAGCAAAAAATTTGAGCGGTTTTTTATAAAATCCTTTTTTTAATTGCCTATATTTTAAGCAAAAGTTCGCGAAAACTACTCCTATTTTCAAAAAATTGTATATGACCTTATTCAGATATATCTTTAAATAATAGATTTCATTAAGGATAAAATCCCTTCTATATTGTAGTTGTGGGAAGACATCGAACAAATTATGAACTTTTTTAATTTTGGAAATTCAGAGAGTTCAGCGAAAACCGGTATTGTGCCATTTGTAAGCGTGCTTCATTCTCTTCTATTCTATTCGAGGCAAAAAAGGAAACAAATAATTTGCTGTTATTTTTTGAGAATATTTAGGAAAGGTTGCTAACAATTCATGTAATGTATTCCCAAAATCAATATATTCATTCGAGTTCGTCCAGATCGATTGTGGTGTAAAGACACTGAACTGTTTTCTCCCTAGCGCTGACCGACAAACTTACGTACGTGCGCACGTTCTTCAGAAGTGCTGATCCAGAGAGACGTTTTGCAGTCAACCGATTTTGGGTTATCAACGTCTCCCAAAATGTTGATTCTGATTACACAACGGGCTAGACGACGTTATGTATTATATGTAGGGACAATAATGATCTTTTTTGATAACAGTGACCCAACATACCGTCTAAGAGGCTAACTTGGGACACTTTCAATGTATGTAGTTTAACCCTGTCTATATGAGTTGCAGGATGAGATATTTTTTATTGCAAAACTTAGGTCTTAGTCAGTCCTTTAGGAATATGTGCTTATTTCTTTTTTGAATATGTTGGGAATAGTAAAATCAAAACGTGGTGTCCCAAGTTACCGTCCAAGATTGGCTAACTTGGGGCAAACATTAGAATTGTGTTTAAAATGGCATTTATAATCACGCAGGCTATTTTAGACATATCTATACATTGTAGATATAGTGAAATAAGTATAACAGATTTTTACAATTAAAAGGCAAACGCCATTACAAAAACTACTGGTAAATGACTTATTTTTGGAACAAAGTAAATTTAAAGAAGGGCATGTTTGCAAATCAAGAAATCTATCATATAATATTTAAATAATATTTAATTATATCTCATAGAAAACCAATACTAAACAAATAATAATTAAGAAATGTCTCGGACTGAGTAGAGAACTGTTCATCAGTAGATTCTTCTAGCGATTTCTTATGCTAAGAAGCAAAGGACATGTAGGTTTCGTATATTTCTAGACTACTTGTTCTTCTAACTCTTAATATTGCTCAT